TTAATTGTTCATTTATTACTATTAATTATTATTACTATCCCAGCAATTATTATTCTATAATTACCATTTTTTATAACAGTAGTAATAATAATTATTACTTTTTTGATTATCATTACTTGCATATTCAATTTGAAATTATCAAATTTTGAAATGTAACAGCCTTATTGCGATTGCTTCTATTTTATTATTCGCTCCATCACACGATTTTCTCTTTTTTATTCAAATATATACATTGTTTTCATTTGAGAGAAAAAGAAAAAGGTTATTGTTCATTGAAAATGACTTCAATGTATGTTATCATTTATTATTATTTATTAATAATCTCTGATAAAAAGAATAATCAAATAACATATTATTCGATTAGTAAATTTTTTTCATTTAACATTATTAATAAAGTCGAAAATTGATTATGTAACGAAGCATAATTAATTATTTGTTAGCATTCATGACTGAATTTACATCAAAAGCATTGATATTTATCAATGATTGAAATAAAAACTTTGAGTTAGAATGTTTGTAATCTTTGCTTTCATCGCAGTTACTTTTTGCACATTATTTGAATTCATTTTTCTCGCTTTCTCTTTTTATCAAATAATAAATCAGTGATCACATAATCATAACACTGGAAAAAAGGGAAAAGCTATTTTAATTTGTTTTACACTTTTAAATTGCTTTATGTTCTTATCAAAGATTGTTATGATTTCTGCTACAGTTAGTTTTTACAAAACAACAAAAATACGATCAGGATTAAGAAAATTTGATAGTATACATGATTATATCATCATTATAATGGACCTGATCGATGTCATAATCTTTATTATATTCTATTTTATCACTATCATTGGTTTTTTCGATTACACTATTATTCTCAGATCAATCTTATCACCTTATCATTATCAGCTTTTTCATCATCAAAAAAGTCTTTCTAAATCTTGAAATGATTTTTTAATCAGCAGCTTTCATTTAATAACTTTTGCAATGTCTCTCTTCTTTTGATATCACTATAAAAAATGTTAATAATTTCTTAGCATTCTTTCAAACTTTATCATTTTTGATCAATCAGCAATAATTGACATCGATTGAATTCAAATAATTGGATGAAAAATAAATTACAGATTCATAAATACAAGTAATAATGAAAATTTTGAAAAAAATATTTTTTTCATTGTATTATTTTAATTTTTAGTTAAATCAATAAATTCTAAAGTTATATTCATTAATTACTTTAATGCTATTACTTATTTTAATTGTAAAATTTTGAAAATACTGTAAAGTACTGTTTTGTTCTTTTGTTTTTTTTTCAGATCTTGGATAAATGGTTGGTTGGCAAGAAATCATCCGATTCAGCATTATATTCAGAAAAATGGCAACAAGAATTTACATCACGACCAACATGGTGTGATGCGGATATGGCATTACAACAAATGAATCAGGTTTGATTTTTTTTTTTTAATTGAAAAGAGAATGGATCAAAATTTTCAATGAATTTATGTCAAATTTGTAATTGAGGAAATTAATAAAATTAATTTGACAAATTTGATAATTTTAACAATTTTGTAACAGATTATTGGTTAATTATTTTAGTGATAACTAACTTCGATGTAAGCCTAATTTATTATTTTTCAAAAGGATGAGGAATAAAAGCATTAAAGATGTAATTGCAATTTAAATCATTGATAATTTTTATAATTCAATTATTAATTTTCATTTGAAATATTAAACATTGCTCTTTCCTTCTCTCATTTTCTCCCCTTCTCCATGTTAATGATTTCAATAATTTCTAAAATTAGCAC